ATTATTATTATTATTATTATTATTATTATTATTATTATTATTATTATTATAAATTCATTGGATAACAGCATCGACTTGTCCACTGGATAATTTAGTTATCTACAGCCATTAAATATCAGGGGAGGGGAGGGATGGATTAAAAGATGTATCATTCTTTTAGTTTAATAAGAAAGAAGTACTGATAATCGTTGAAGTTCATAGTCTGATGTCCAGAAAAGGAGTAAAACTGATTTTGAACAAAAAATGTCTTTCGGCAAATCTTTATTATTGTAATAAATAGCTCACGTCGAAGATCATTTTTATTACAGTCAACACGCCAATTTTGGTTGCACAACCGTACCAAAACGCCCGCGCATGCGCGGTATACTCACTACATTATCCCTTTTAAAAAGACCTACTAATGGTCTAAGTGAAAATATGAGTTTTAAAAAAGTTTTAACATATCCGTTAGATATGATATCAGGCTCAATTTGTTGGCTGTGTCATTAGTAGCACTTAACACTCTGCCATGACCATAATGTTCAGTTCTTTGCTTTCTCAGGTTGTCCTGTGATGATTCTTGGTTCATCTAGGCTTGGTCGACATCGATTCCGCTCCCCTTCCTACCCCTCCGGACAGCTGTGTTCCGCTCCTTTCCATTTGATCATTTTTTTCGCAGGGTCATTTTCTTTGAGACAGAATTCGTCACGGCAAAGCGGACTGGTTCGCTTCCATGGAGACAGGCCGAAAAAATCAGTTCCAATTTGCAGTGGTCGACATGCAACTCGGTATACAGTCAATTCAAAAAATTTTGTCGTCGACCAACTCAAGCCTACGCGACCGGACCGAAAGGAACTCTGGGTAGCAATCATTGAAGCCGAGTCGACTGCAGTAATTTTATCTGACTAGTTATGCCTGTGGTTTACAGCACGAACCTTCGTAGGCGAGCGGGAAGTGTTGAAGGAGACGTATCTTTAATGCCTTCATATTTTCAAAATTGTGAACTGAATCATAACTACTTTGATGATAAAAAGGTAAATTATACACCGTGAAAAAGAGTCATTCCTTTCTACCACCTCTTTTTCTTTTACTCCGACGAAGGACTAGCGTCCGAAACGTCAGTAAGTTTTTTCATCTTTTCACGGTGTATAATTTACCTTTTTATCATTACTGTTTCATTAGAAACAYCGACGCAGCTCACACTAGTTTTTAGCTAGTTATCTCTTCTCATAACTACTTTGTTTTTCTTTCCCTAAACCCAAAGACATGCATTTAATGGATTGTTTCTCGCCATTATTATCTTTACTACTAGCGGAAACAAATAATTCAGAACGAATATTTAACCGCTTCAGTGATTTTCACCCATATTCCTTTCGGTCCAGTCGCGTAGGCTTGAGCCGGTCGACGACAACGTTTTTTGAATTGACTGTATACATTTTCCTTCACGCACGTACTGTCGGACTGCTGCTGGAAGCAGGCGAGTAGAGCCATTCTATCCTACGTTGGTATTTCTTCTCAAACGTAAAGTGGACCATTGCAGCAGCCTCATCTTCTATTGGTATTCTTCTACCAAGACCTGGCGTAAGTTGGGTATAGATATGTACAGCTTGTGGACATGGGCTGTGGTCTGGGTTTGTAAGAGGTCGTTCTGGACTCGGAGAGTTCCCCTGAATGCCAGAAAATGCAAACTTTCCTGTTTTAGAAATCCTAGATCTCAATCGGTTCATTGTCTTTCTTCTAAGGTTGATCTCCAAACCACTAGCTATTCGTAGGTAATGCTAACATCTGCGAGTTCAAACCTATACATATTGAACCTATTAACGTCAAGAAAATGACTTGACCGCCCAAAAATAGCCGTGTCACTCCTTTAATTATTAAGGATGAATTGCACCATAAGTCGCCACCTACCAAAAACAAAAGCAAGGGATATATATATTTTATTGAGTTGCGTCATGACACTGCGTCGATCATTAAAGGCAGCTGCTTGTAAAATGGATCCGCCCACAATGCATATTTTTCTCTACGTTAATTTGACGTCAAATTTATTTTATTGAATTTGTTTTTCCAAATAATTGAACTTTGTGACGTCAGTCATAGATTGCCTTCTTATTAAATTTTTATGATTTTTTTTTTAGTTTTTGAAGTAACTTTTTTTCATAAACCAAATGTAACCACTATTTTAGCCGTTGAGATTTTATAAAAGCATATCATTCGTCCCCTTTCGAACAATCGGACAGCACATCGGTCAAAAATTGCCTTCTAATTTAATCTTTATTATTTTGTTACGGTTTTAAATAATTTTTTTTCATAAATCAAATTTAACCATAAATTTAACTATTTTAGCCTTTGAAATTTTACAAAAGCGTATTATTCGTCCCCTTCCTAACGATCGGACAACACGCACCGCACGTGAGATATGATACCTGCCGGCTATCGACACGCGACCAATTGAATTTTGTGACATCAGTCATAGATTGCCTTCTGATTAATAACTTTTTTTCATAAACCAAATGTAACCACTATTTTAGCCGTTGAGATTTTATAGAAGCATGTTATTCGTCCCCTTTCGAACAATCGGACAGCACCCAGGCATCATGCGCACGTGATATATGATACCTGTACTCTACCGACACGTGACCAATTGAATTTTTTGCACCCAATGAACCCCCCCCTAAATCCGTCACAGTACATTTTACCCTTGATATATACTTTAAAGATTATTCCAGTAAAGTTTTAGCCGAATTATTTACTCAAAATATACCTCAGTTTTTATAATTTTACTGACGGCGGCCATTCTATTGTTTTAAGTAAAAAAATGTCGGGAGTTTATTGGATGGGAGCAAATCTTTGGGAAATTATGAACGATGCTTAAATATCCCATGTAAAAAACATCTAAAAAACAATTGAATTTGCTGGTAGTTGGAGCGATTTGAAAAACACCACAGTGCATGTAAAATCATTTGAAACGTTCTTTGAGGGCCACAGGTTTGTTAGCATAGATTTTGCTATTTTGTGCCACCCTCGTACGAAAAACCATATTCTCTTGATGATGATGATGATGATGATGACTATTATTATTATTATTATTATTATTATTATTATTATTATTATTATTATTATCGTCATTATTATTTTCATTTGAGATATTATTACATGGGCTTCCTGTGTCAGTCCATGACGTGTTTCTCAGTCTTTTAATATTCAAGATGGCGGCGCCCGAAGACAACCTCAATGAAATTCAACTTGGAGTTTTATCTCATTTTCAGGTACTTAAACTTATGTATTCCCAATTATTTGGTGTTATAAGCTAATTAATTTGAGTCGGGCTTCAACTTGACACAATTGAGCTATATTTCTAGGACATAACAGGAATGGAAGATGTTGATGAATGTACAGCAATACTAGAGAGACATCAATGGGACATCGAAGTGAGTTCTGTTCTTCTTATTCTTCATTTGTTTATTTTATATGAAAGAAATGCTTAAAGTGCAAGGATTATTATACATCGTGGTTAAATATTTAGGGGAAAATGCAGTCTGTTTTGGCTTTGAAGTGCTTTCAAATGTGATGTCTTAAAGATGCGAATTCATCTCAATATTTCGCTTTTCTTCTTTTGATCATTCGTAATTTTGTCACATTTAAGATCCCCCGCCCATTCATAATCTTTAAAATCTCCGTTACGTGTCTTTATTAGTTGCATGAAAAAAATTCAGGCTGTCCTCGCGAAAACGAACATAAGCTTAGAGATATGAGCTTTTACCTTAAATTGATGATGTCAGCGTAAACTTTTGACCTAAAGGGGATTGAGTGTTCACTTTGCAGTGCATTGTGGGACTATTTAGGGTACATATTTTTCAAGATGGGGTCTATCTTGTTCCCTAAAGCCCCATCTATATGAGCAAGTTTTCCTTGACAATACTCCATTTTACAGTTCCATTCAGTGACCACGAATAATAGTTCTGCCCGAGGCTGGAGTTTCTGCACATAGCAAAACTACAGTTTATCATGTGTGGTAACTCCAGCCTCGGCTAGGAACTATTATTCGTGGTCACTGAATGGAACTGTAAAATGGAGTATTTTCATTGCTTGTGTAGACAATCAGCAAGTTTTCTTTGACAATTTTTCCTTGACAAGGTTTTCTTGCTTGTGTAGATGCTGAGCAAGTTTTACTTGACAAGTTTTGGCTGTGCCTGCAATGCCATTTAATCAGCGGAGTATTAACGAAATTTTTTTTCCAGTAGTCAAAAACAGCTTTATCACTCCAACTTATTTTCGCTCTAGCCACCATTTTCTATTTTAACAGGAGAGCGAGCAGAAAGACTGAGAACTAAACTCATTAATGTTTCTTGCCACATTTTCCTCGTTCATCTACACAAGCAAATTTCAGCCTTGACAGTTTTTCCTTGACAGGGAAAAGCTAGCATGCCACCTTTTCCTTGTCAAGGAAAACTTGCTCGTGTAGATGTGGCTTAAAGCATTCCCATAATGCATTGCAATGCAAATCCAACTCAGTATTTTTACTCAACATCGACAGAACACTAAGCTCAGAATAAAAAACAAAAACATTAAACTTTAGAAGACTGGCTCAACCTGAGGTATTCCAACCACTCAGAGGTCACACTGCTCCAAGTTTATTCATATAGGAATGAACCCCTTTGTATAATCCCATGTAACCTCATTCTTAAGTGATTGAATGTGAGGCTTTGCGTGAGAAAAGCACTTTGTTCAAGCCAAGAAAGCTGCTGTGTTACATAGATCCATTCTGATTGGTCTGTTTTCATCCAGACCGCTTTGCCTCAAAATATAAAATCATAAAATAGCTGTACAAAAACTCGGTCTTTGATTGGTTCAGAGCACACGCTATATAGAGGGCACACAGCCTCTATGCATAATTTACATGTTGTCATTTGCTTATTAACAGACTGCTGTACAAGACACATTTAACAAGGCAGAGGGAGCAGCGACAGTATTCCATGAAGAACCGAATGAGGTGGATAGCCCACCATTAAAAAATGGCACTACTGGAAGTTCTAATGTTGTTGCTGCTAACACTGAAAGAACTGATCAAGCAGTAGATGTACACAGGCCAAACATGGTAGAGTATTATTTCATTTTATTAAATGTCTGCCATAAATCACCCTGTTCTGATTGGTCAAGGTGTGTGCTTTATAAGAACACGCAGCAATTCCGTTATTCTTTCTTATTACGAAGAGTGGTGCCCTTTTATTATTTGTAGACATAAAGCAGACCATTATTTTAAGCCCTGAAATATGGCATATAGTCTGTATTATAGGACAACATTTAAGTACATCTGGTGTCATGCAGATTGCCCATTATTCCAGACACTTTGATTGGGTAATCTAATTATACTAGAAAACCAACACATTTTTCTAAAGTAAAAAATTATCCCTGATGCAAATGACTTGCTTGGTGACAAAAATGAATGATGTGTGGTGCCTTATGTACTAGTCCTTGGGAATTTAAAAACATGCCAAGACATGGAATTTATTGTACATTGAAGCAAGAATGCTTCCTAGGGCAGATAGAGAAATTAACTTCAGTTCTGTATTTCATTTAATTTAGCGGTGCATCTATAGCTTGACTTTTAATGCTAAGCTGAATATTGGCATTTACATGAGTAAAAGGCCTCACAAACTAAGGAGAAGAACAGACACAGTTTAGTGGTTATAGTAATAAGTTTTAACAAGAGAATATGAACTACTGTAGGAGAAGGAATCCTACCTGTATAGCCTTGTAACTACCATGTGCACAGTTTGATGCTATTTTTTTAAATATGGTGCTTTTTGTGTCCTAAAACGAGGCATTAAAGTGAAAGAATGATTATCGTGCCGGTATGGAGTCAAAAATAGCATCACTGATTCTTAAAATAGCATCAAAGTGTGCACATGATTAGTTCATTTTCTCTTGGTTTTAATTTATTGTTGTTTTTTCATTCTTGTTCTTCCAGGGATGGTGTAATTGGATGTTTTCTATTCTACTGTTACCATTTAGGTTCACCTCTAGTGTAGTTACCAATGTCTTCAGTTTTATAAGTAAGTGCCAATGATCATTCTCAGAACCATGATCCTTCTCTAAGGTAGCAAACACACTGCACCATGGTCTAGCATTGTTACAAACATTATAATAATTTATTTTGTTTAACTTGCATTACTTAAAGTGCCACAGTGATCAATTTTCTGACTTTTTTGCCTGGATTGAAAGATCTTTGATAGTGAAATGTCATTTTCCTTTTTCAAATATCTTTTTTGACTTAAAAAATATTGGAGTTTGTAGAATAGCAGCCATTATTCTTTATTATGTTATATTCTCAATACTTGAGCAGCCTAAGATTATGATAAGCTATATCTTAGCCCAGTTTCAATCAAAATCAACCAAATTTAGTGTGACAATGGTGTAAAAAGTGGCTGGTTTAACATTTATAAATAGAAAGGATTTAAAAAAAATTCTTGTTTGGTTTCAGTGACACTAGTCTGGCCATCTTTCTACTACCGTAAGTACCCTATTTCCTCTAATAAAGCCCAAGGGGGCTTATTCTTTTCAATGCTTTTGGACTGAGAGGTTACATTATGGGAAAGGGGGTTATTAGAGTCATGGGGCACAATAAATTTTCATGATCTTTGAGAAAATATTCATTATTATTTTTATTCATAATCTTGACATGTGAAAGTACTTTTAAAGGAAAAATGATCACACCATTCAAATCAATGGTCTCCCTTAGGGAAGGGGCTTTCAGAGGCTGGAGGCTTAAATGATTTTTGCTGGCTCAGGCTTATAAAAAGAGGGAGGGGAGGGGGGTGGCTTTTTAGAGGTTGGGGGCTTCAATAGTGAAAATGAGTGATTAGTAATCAGTCAAAGTAATTAGAATTAATTTGCCAGTGACTTAGAAGGAGATGATAGCCGTTGTCCATGTTTTTTTTTTGTCATGCAATTAAATTTAGCAGCATATTGTTATATTCACTAAAAATAGTGGCTGCTACAGCATTATTATCTGAGTGGAAGTGAAAAGAAATATCTGTCAAATTTCTTATCACAGTTTTTTGCACATTGATTAGATTTCAGTACATATGTCATTTCTGTTTTCCATATCAGCCCGTAGAACTGCTTTAGATGATGTATTGCACTTTAAAAAGGAGTTTGAAGAAAAATATGGCACAGTTCATCCTAACTTCTACCAAGGCACCTATAGCCAGGTAAACAATTTTAACTAAAAGTATTATCATAGAGTGCAAATTATATACCCGTGAAATAGTTAGGATGAAATAGGAGATAGTTAGTGCTTAAGGACGGTGCCTACTAATTGAGAATCAATTATTTTTTTAAATGACTATGTGAATTATTTTAACCTATCAAAGGGTTGTCAAATTCTGGTTAGAAAAGTAGGGGTCACCATGCATTTAAAAGAAATAATAAGGCTTAAAAATCATTAAAAAGTGACGACGTCATGATTTTACTAACACCAGGAAAATTTTTTTTTTCAAAAGATTTTGAGAAATTTCTAATTTAAATCGCCCTAAATGACTGGCACTTTGTTTCTTTACTAAAATATACCCAATTCTACCATGTCTTTAATAGTTGGCTATAACATATATAATTTTTTAGCTTCGTGCTCCCTATTTTCAATCAGTAGGTATATAAAGATTGTGTCCATATTCTTTTCAAAACCAATTATTTTTTATAAATTTCATTTCACGAGGCTAATTTAGCATTTACTCTATCATTTAGACGAAGAAAAAATAGGGGTATCCAGGCATTTTTAAGAGATACGAATTTTTAAAGAACGTTATTAGGGATAAATCTTATGCCGAATGCGTGACAAGCGTTACGCAGCATACAAAACGGCGTGACAAACTCTGTTTTCGGCGCGTTTGCACGTCAATCTAAACATGCTGCTTCCTGCCATGCAAGCAAAATACACAGAGAAAAACTCGATATTTATAAGCTTTATAGTTCCAGAAAGACTATTGGGTTTGAAGTGAAGTTATTATTGACTTTTTACTTAACAGCAGAAAGGAATTTCTGAAATATTTGGTACGTAATAAGATGATTTTTTAGATTGAGAACTTCCAAAGTAAAAGAATTTCATGATGAAAGTGTTTAGCGACCAAAAAAAGATTTTCAAAACTATAATTACACACCTAGATATTAATAAATGGTAAATTTTCAATTTCATATGTATTTCATGCTTGTTTTTATTCAGGTTTTATAGGATTAAATCTAAAGAAACGGTAAAAAGCTTTATTATTGAAAGGATTTGGTTTTTTAGAACTATGAGTCTGCCATTTTTTCACTGAAACTTGCCCAAAAAAACTTGATTCTTTGTCAATAATACTTAAACCTTAGCAAATTATCTCTTTAACAAGCCTGGGTTATTTAAGATCGTTTTCTGCTTTAACTTTTATTGAAAATAAACGTTTTGTTTCCTGCAATTCGAGTAATAAATTTTGAAATTCCTCGAATGTAGATGCGCAGTACGTGTGCGCTTGGACAATAGTAGGCACCGTCCTTAATTAGACAAGACATAGGAATTCAGTGAGGCATGACAAGGGCACAGGCGTTTATAGCTCAATATGCAAATGAATAGATACAAAAATGCTAACATGTCAAATTATACAAAGGAAAAGCACAATAGTACAATAGAAAAAGTACAATAGAACATTTAAGTTTTTGTAAGTGTGTTAAAAAATATTTTAAAATGCACGCCCTTGAGTAGCACACGATGCACTAGTTTACCCATCACGGCTCGCCTATTTCTTTAACTAATTAGACTTAGGCAACCAAAGTTTAGTAATTAGTTAGCTAGCTATCTATTTCACAGGTATATTATTAGCACTCTATCTCATGTAAACATGTGTCATTTTTAGAGAGTTTGTTTGATATGAAGCCATCATGATTTTGGATGAATGTGAAAACTAGGATTCATTTATACAAGGCACAGAACTTGAAATTTGTATTTCAGTCTTGGAAAACTAATGAAGTTTCAAAAGTAAATTGTTGAGATCATGAAAAAGTCATGGAATTTTCGATGAATTTTTTGTTGAAAATTAAAATACTGCAGCAGCTATAGACAGAATAGATCTCTGGGTGTGGGGTTTCCTATTTCTGGCTACATGTACCTGTCATTCTCTAGAGCATTATATCTTTGTTTAATGGTTGCACTCGAGAAGACACATGAATATGGATACAACTCAAACAAAGAAATTTTTTTTCAAGAGAATGACACATGGTCAGAAATGGTATAACGTAACCCCAAGGTAAAGAGATCTTTGATCAAAGTCATGGAATTTTGTTTCCCATATTCTGTGTTATTGATGTGATAGAAAATCTTCATTGGATTTCTTTATTAACCTACATAGTATTAGCCTTTCTGGAGTTGTAGAAAGGAATGCTTCATTAGTTACATGTAGCTGTAAGAGGAGCCACAAACTTTAACATTAAAAGAATATGATCTTATGCTACATGCCAAAAGTCGAGTCAAAACATCAGAAGTGTCTTACGTAGGAAAAGAAAAACATCTGTGTTATCACCTATTCAGCGATCAACAAATACATTACAAATCCCTCGGGAATCAGACTGAAATTAATGAGCTATTGGGCTGCGTGTAATTTTGCTGAGTTTTTAGAGTGTACTACACGCGGATGGACGAACTACACTAGTACGAGTGTACTCCGTTAACGGAGTGCACGCGTGTTACTGTGACATACATCTGGGCTGTACTGTATTCATCAAAAAAAATAAAAGAAATTTGAAAATTAACATGACAATTAAGGTTTCCTATCACTATCACTATCACCAAGTGAAGACGATGCCATATAAGTATAAAGCATCCCCTAAAGCAGCCCTATAATGCAACATGTTCTGCTACTCCATTAAGGCTAATACTATTTTTGAATATTGAAATATCAATGGCCTGTATTTCTGTTTACAGGTGCTCAATGACGCTAAAAGAGAACTGAGGTTTGTTTTAGTTTACCTTCATTCTGATGACCACCAGCACACTCCTGCATTTTGCAGGTTAGTATGATTATACCCTGTATTATTTTTGGCTAAAACGATGGACTACTTCAATGATATGGCAGCAAATTGCCAGCGGGCAAAACAAAACAAAACATGGGTGGTGTAGCGGTGAGAGTGCTCGCCTCTCACCAATGCAACCCAGGTTCGAGTCACAGTGTCGTATGTGAGTTGAGTTGTTTGTTGGTTCTCTCCTGTGCTTCAAGGGTTTTCCAGGTTCTACGGCTTTCCTCCCTCTGCAAAAATCAACTTCTAAATTCCAATTGGAATCCAGTGGATGAAGAGCCACTCTGTGGAAATGCCACTGCTAAATCCTATTTTTTATTTATTATCTATTTTATTTAAACAAAGATGACGGAAAATATATATAGTTTTGTGTGTTTGTCTTTCTTTTATGAGTAAAGGTGATCAATGTGCCACTTTTATTAACATCGTATTGTATTCACTCGTGGTGAGTGATTGTCAACATCATTGCTGTGGCAAAGCTTTTTTTGCCCCTGGATGCCCCGTAATGCCTTGCAATTCAAGATGACCGTCTTATTGTGAAAGTAGCCCATTACTTCAACTCTTGATTTGTAAGAATTAATAGTATAAAAAATAGAGCATTCCAGCTGATCTGAAATAGTGGCGTATAAATGTAGTCACTGCAAAACTGCGGTGTCATAATGAACTTTGTTAAAACTGACCGGTCACAAATATCATGCATGCCCACCATTGCAAAAGAAATATAAACTTCATTTAAGTATTGTGTCATTGTTATCAAGCACTTATTAGCTCAGTTTTTTTTTTGGTGGCCTGGAAATCCATAATTTCAAGAGGAAAAACGATACCTCAGTTTTGCAAATGTTCTCGACTCTAATTGGCTAACGTTTTTCAGATTTCACATCAGCTGGTCGTGCACAAAGTATAATGAGCTTTTTTGCATTGTTTTGTCAAATGTTTGTTACAGTTGGTCATTGGTATAACATTGTGAGATGTTACACGTCAGTAACATTTATGCATGTTGGTTGTGTTAAGGAGTATTTTCTCCACTTTTCCTTTGCACACTGTCAAAAAAAACAGCAAACAATTTACATTACTCAAGCAAGTACGTGAATGATTTTCTTGCCCCATCTTCTCATTACAGCTAGTGTTTTAAAGATTCACTAGACGATGTGATGTAAAAATACTAATTTGAATGAGTATTTTTACAAGTTAAAACACATAGCTCTCTAGAGTGCAATATGGTCAGACGTGAGGACCATTATTTTGGATTGTATAATCTCTTGTCTGTGTTGCTTTCCTACTCAGCCCTCCCTCAGCAGCCCTTTCCCCTTTCGTGCTCTCCATGACTTGACAAGGGTGCAAAACTTTCCATTGTTTTACATTAGTGACTATGATATCCTGAAACAAACTGTATGATATTTTGCAGATCTACCATGATGAATTCTGGGTTTATAGAGTATGTTAATGGATGTATGTTATTCTGGGCTGTCGATGTCCGTTCAGCTGAAGGATATAGAGGTACTTATTTAAGCCTCCTTACATAGCCTGAAACAACTCTTGGGAGAGAGAGGGGGGGGGGGGACCTGCACCCATACAACAAAGGGCGGAATGATTGTCGTTTCTTTTAGGGGTTGAAATCATGAGTCAACTCCATTTTTTAGGGATGGAAAAGGGGAAGCTGTTGGTTCCTTGCTGTACGCAATTGCCCTATTTCACTATGACGTCACATCAAAACAATCTATTGTTTAAACGCAAAGGATCATGGTCGTCGGAGGGGGTCAAATCAACGCAAATTCACCGCAAATTCGAAAACCCGTATCAATCCAAGAAGAGAAGTAGAATAGCCAGCAAACTCTCAGAATATTTTTTAGTACATATTGACACATATTATATCTGAAAACCAGGCCATTTTAGATTATACTGTTTCGCTAGGAGCAAATTTTGTTGAATTTTCTATTGGATTTGGCGATTCTATCCCCCACATAAACAAGCAGTGACGTCATAGTGAAATAGGGCAATTCAGTTACAGTATATATACACTTTTATTGTTGCAATTAACTCGATGATTTTGGGGCTACAAATTACGCCCAAACTCTCTCTTTTAGGGGTTAATTTTTTTTTTTTCGATGATCATCCCCACGGTTTTTACTTCGGAGTGTGTCCCTGACTGCGCACCTATGCCTCGTGTGATGAAACTAGAAATTCATAAGGGAGTTGAAAAGTGTAACACTTTAACCATGCTGCGGATTGTTCAGATACAGTCCTTTGACTAAACGTTGTCGTTTGATCGGCTTCATCCCTACGCGCCAAGACCGAAAAGGATCATGGGGATAATTAATTCACAGTTACTAGCTGCCGCATATGTTATCTAACACGTCTTGAGCTCGCTTTTTTCGATCCCATTTAATTTGCTGAAACCATGCCTCGAGCATACGGCGAAGATTTAAACTGGCGAGCAGTTTGGATGACGCAAGTTCTGGGTAATTTACCCGTTATCCTTTTCGGTCTAAGCGCGTAGGGATAATCCGATCAACGACAACGTTTAGTCAAAGGACTGTATACAAATTAGTACGCTTCTCTCACCTACCAGACTTCTCGCAGAATTTCCTGACATTCAGAGGAGATTTACTGAATCTTCCAATCAAACATTTGGGATACCTGTCTTTGGTCTAGTTTTGGTAACTTTTGAAGCAAGAGGACGTGATTTACTGGGAAGAAATTTGTCAAGAAAAAGTTGAATTTTCCGGAACATCGCACTAAAGAAATGTATGGTTACACGTTTCTATCCCTTATGACTGAGTTTCTGATGAAACCAAAAGAAATAGCCCTCTAGCATTCTAGTAACCAACTGTGTTACAACTGTAAAACTCGAAAATAACGGTTGTAAATGATTTCCATGAAATATTATTTATATTTAATTCGTTTAAGAGATTCTCATTTTAAATTACTGGTGATATCAAAACTAATACTTGTTGTTTTATCTTTGTTTGTTAGTGTCAAATGCTCTTCGTGAAACTACGTATCCATTTTTAGCACTGATTTGTTTGAGAGATAACAGAATGACTGTTGTAGGAAGGATGGAAGGTTTGTGAAAATTGGTTTTACTCAGTTTAATGTATTTTTTTTATATCAGGGGCGTAGCGAGGACTCAGTAATAGTAACGTGGTACCATCCTCGGGAACCCAGGGGGAAAATTCTGTGAGAAACGAGCGACAGAATTTTACGCCTGGGTTCCCGAGGATGTCCCCGTACGGGACTCTTCCGCGAGGTTTGCTCCACACGCACTACCACTATATTCATTATTTACAACACACAGCACTCAACTCACTTCACATCGTAGATTTTTATGGAGGGAGGAAAACCAGAGAATCCAGAGAGAACCCCTTGTGGCTAGGGAGAAAACAATTCACGGGGTGCATGTTAACGTCATAGTCTCCTTGTTGGTTGACGATAACAGAACATTCCTCACTATCTTCTTTTGTTAGATCAACCAACATGGTGGTTTGTTTCGTTGTTATTTAGATCCGAAGACGAGTAAGAGAACGAGTACGAGTACAAGTTTCTAACTTTTCAAGATTGGCACTGTCATTCCGTATTCGTGGTCGTGTACGTAGATTACAACTTTAAATTGTAAAAAATCGGAAATCCACTATGATTCATAGTTAATCACGCGCACAGGACCAGTTTTAAAACTCCGTACTCGTACTCGATCTCGTACACTTGTCGGATCTAAAGGGCGCTTATATCTCGATGGATGTAGAATAAGAAAAAGAATAAGAAAAATTTACATCTCGCTATCCCAGATGCCACTACTCCTAAATCTTGTTTCTCGCATGTATATGATGGTTTCATATTTACTCCAAGCAAGGCTACCATCTACTTCACCTAGCATTTAGACGACAAAAGTCTAGTAACTATGTTGTAACAGTTGTGTTTGTTTTCAGGTATAATGCCTGTTGATCGATATGTATCGATATTAGCTCAACTAGTTGCTGATAATGAACCAGCTCTTATTGCTGCACGAGTAGAAAGGTAAAATACATTAGTACTTGATGGTGAATTGCAACATGTTGTGCTTCGATTTCTGTGCCTCTCCTAACACTTCTCTTGTGTTTTACCAATCTCTGTATCTACTCATTTCAATAAAGTTAGTCACCGAAAACCTAGAAAACTGTGATCGCTGGGAATCATGGGAAACATTTCATATTCAACAAGTAAAGGTTTCGACACAAACTGCAGCAGTTGAGGATGCTCAAAGGAGGTGAGACTGTAACTGGTAGAAGATCTCAAGTCTATCAACAGTTATCAAGCTGTTGAAAAATGTAAAATGTATCTATCCATAATCCTTGTCGGCCTCAGCTTTGTAGCTTTTCAGGTGACTAACTTTATTGAAATAAATGTATACTGTAGCTTTCGACCCACGCAATGATATTTGTGTTTTAGGTCTTTATCTCCGTCTAGCTTATTAACTGACAAGTTTCAAACTATTTTATCTTTCGTATCAGACAAGAAAGAAGTCAGACCCAAACACTAAGAGACGAACAGGACCAAGCTTACCACGAGTCATTAAAAGCCGACAAAGAAAAGGTGACAAAGAAAGATTCATATGTTGCAAGCATGACCAGCATGCATAGGCATTGCTCTTGGGGCCAAAACCTAAAGACAGAGTTAGTCCCAACAGTAAAGATTTGGTTATAATACACAGGCAGCAAAATCGTGCAATTTAGTGGTCGCTTAACATGTTGCATTGCAGGTTGCTTTTATTATTACTCTGCGTGCTATACATTTGTTGTGTTGTAAAGAGAGCTATTTTGTGCAACAAAGGGTATAAAGACTTTTAGTCGAAGCTAAGTTTCCTTAAACAATCACTAACCTACATCAAGCTGTTCTAGTAACGCATAGGATAGTAATACCAGCAACATTTCCTGTGAAACTTGCAGTGCTGCTTGTTCTCGCACTACTTTTTTGTTGCTCCTGTTACTACACCTTTAGCGTCAATCCACCTTCCTTATGGTATACAGATGGGATATACAGATAAACAGCTATTTCTAATGCAAAAATAAAGAGTTGGTGAAGGATTTTCTTTCCTGTTGCATTCCGAGCCCGAAAAGTTCCATGGGTGATGTGAATGCGATCAGCGAAAGGTCGCAACAGTATGGAATTTTCCCAGTCTTTTTTGCACTTTTTTACGGCTTATTTTTTATGCTGATATCATTAGAAAGTTTGTGATTCTCGTTATCGGCAAACGTGAAACGTCAGTTGACCAATAATAAATTCTTTAAAATTAGCGGAATGAAATCGCAAAAATTTCCAACTAGTAGATAAAGAAATGAATATTTGTGTGTGGTGAGGAGGTTTACTAAAGGTAAAGTGAAATACAGGAAAACAATGAGAATGTTTTCATGTCTGCCGTTTGCTGGAAGGAAAAACGGCAATCTTAATCTGCCTATTTACACATGATCTACAGCACATTTCAAATTTGTAAGCAACAGGCATCAGACAATAAAACCTTTGCCAACCTATTTTGAAATAGCTGTATTTATGAATCGACCTACCATTAATATTATTTCGTCTCGTTAGCTTAGTCTTGTTTCAGCCATCTTGACGACCTTGAATACCACATGACCTGAAACATTGTCTTATGATTTCCTTGTAGGAGCGACGCAAACTGGAAGAACAAGAAAAGAAAAGAAAAGAAGAAGAAGCAATAAGATTAAAAGAACAAGCTTCACAAAACAAATTGGAGGTTAGTTATATACATGTTGTATACCAAGTCGCACAGCATAGCACGGCACAGCACAGCACAGCACAGCTCAGCACTGCACTGCACTGCACTGCACAGCACAGCACTGCACAGC